TGGCCGCGGCGGTGACACCCGGGTCGCCGGCGTCCACACGGCGGAATCCGGGCTCCCTCCGCGGGAGGAAAGACGTCCTCCGGAGCTGGCCCGGCGGGGAGAGGCCCTCCTCACGCGGCTTCCCTCCGACCTCTTACTCTCAGGAGGTAGGCGCTTCAGGTCCCTGTCCCTGTCGCCCCGGATAATGCCTAAACGCAGGATTTATCGTAGTTACCGATCACATCGACAGGAGGCGTTGATGTTCTCAACATAGTTGCAGGAGAGCTGTGGGTAATGCCACACGTCCTGGTATGGAATGGAAAAAAGAATGTTTTTGGTGTTTTCCTTTAGGTTTCGGAGGCTCCGAGTCCCTACTGTACAGGAACGACTTCTGTTGGCCCGTCGAGGATCATCTTTCACCAGGATTATTGCAACATGAACTTCACCGAGCCTTCCACCCTGTAGCCTCCACCTTGGGTTCTGATTTCCACCAATGAAGTGTTCCGATGCTTTCTTTAGTAATGTGACATCACCTCTTGTCCACCAGATTCTTCCTTTCCAGTTTCCAAGTCCATTTAAGTCGCGTTAAAGTACAGAGTTTCCTGCCTGCCCACTTTCACCTTGTTTGCACCACTCACTTCTGCCCAGCTCGGCTCTTCTTGCTTGCCTATGATTTCCATAAGCACTCACTTGCACAACCTGTAGCAGTTCTGACCTAGAGAGACGACATTCCTACAGTCCACTGCTTGACAAAGACCACATAGTCAGGGGGTGAGTTTTCCCAATATATTTTCCTGTTTGTCAAGTTTGCAAGTCCTCTCTTGACTTCAGCTATTTATTCCTTAGCACATTTCCCAAAAATACTTTAGCAAATAACCTTACCTGCAAAGAGAAGAATCGAGTGTGTAGTGGCACTGCTTTAGAGACCTTGCTAGTACAGTATTGATCTAACTTCTGACCTTCAGTGAGGCTGCAGTTCATGAAAGACCTTAAGCTAAGTGAGGAGGAGGAAAGATAGCATGGTTAACTGGAGCTAGGCCTTGTTATAGGGTCGTTGTAACTTTTGAAATAGCAAGAGAGTTCATGTAGACCTTTTCTGGAAATTGGCCATTGCACTGTCCGCCTAGGTCCTAGATGTGACAGGAGGAATCTTAAGGCCTCATTTTCTAGTCTCTTTATATTCAGTTCTAAGTTGTCCATTATCTTGCTTTAGTAATCGTTTAAAATTGCTAGACACTTAAGATGTTGGGGAAACGTAAGCGTGTAGTGTTGACAATTAAGGACAAGCTTGACATTATTAAGAAACTTGAGGAAGGCATCTCTTTCAAAAAACTTTCTGTGGTATATGGAATCGGCGAATCCACAGTTCGTGATATTAAAAAGAACAAAGAAAGGATTATAAACTATGCAAACAGTTCAGATCCTACTAGTGGAGTATCTAAACGCAAATCAATGAAGTCATCGACATACGAGGAGCTTGATAGAGTTATGATAGAGTGGTTTAACCAACAAAAAACAAATGGGATTCCAGTATCTGGAACGATTTGTGCAAAACAAGCCAAGTTCTTTTTTGATGCTCTGGGGATGGAAGGTGATTTTAATGCATCATCTGGCTGGCTAACTCGATTTAAGCAGCGCCATGGTATTCCAAAGGCTGCTGGTAAAGGAACAAAATTAAAAGGAGATGAAACTGCTGCCATTGAATTTTGTGGTAACTTTCAGGAATTTGTTGAGAGAGAGAATCTACAACCAGAGCAAATTTATGGTGCTGATCAAACTGGACTGTTCTGGAAATGTCTACCATCAAGGACGTTAGCTCTTGAAACTGAGCAAAGTAATTCTGGGTATAGGTCAAGTAGAGAGAGAATCATTATTATGTGTTGTGCAAATGCCACGGGTTTACACAAACTTAATCTTTGTGTTGTGGGGAAGGCTAAAAAACCCCGTGCATTTAAGGGAACTGACCTTTCAAACCTTCCTGTCACCTATTTCAGTCAGAAGGGTGCATGGATAGAACAATCTGTTTTCAGACAGTGGTTTGAAAAATATTTTGTGCCACAGGTACAGAAGCATTTGAAATCCCAGGGGCTTCTAGAAAAAGCAGTACTGCTTTTAGATTTCCCCCCAGCACATCCAAATGAAGAACTGTTGAGTTCAGATGATGGCAGAATAATTGTGAAATATTTGCCACCAAATGTCACAAGTCTACTTCAACCTATGAGCCAGGGAGTTCTAGCCACTGTAAAAAGATACTACCGAGCAGGACTTCTCCAGAAATATGTGGATGAAGGAATCGACCCAAAAATGTTTTGGAAGAACCTGACAGTGTTGGATGCAATTTATGAAGTGTCAAGAGCTTGGAACATGGTAAAATCAAGTACCATAACCAGAGCGTGGAAGAAACTTTTTCCTGGCAGTGAAGAGAATTCAGGCATGAACATTGATGAAGGAGCCATTTTAGCAGCTAATTTAGCAACGGTTTTACAGAATACAGAAGAATGTGAACACGTTGACATTGAGAATATTGATCAGTGGTTTGACTCTCGGAGTAATGAATCAAGCTGTCAAGTGCTAACTGACAGTGAAAGTGCTGAGGACCAGACCAAGGCTGCTGAGCAAAAGCCTTCCAATAAGACTAGAAAGACAGAACTGAATCCTGAGAAGCATATTAGCCATAAAGCTGCACTTGAATGGACTGAAAATTTACTGGATTATCTGGAACAACAAGATGACATGCTGCTGTCTGATAAATTGGTATTAAGGAGACTTCGAACCATAATAAGAAGGAAACAGAAGATCCAAAATAACAAAAATCATTAATAGGGCTCTTAAGTGTTTCAGTGTATTTGCATCTTTGTGACTGTCTATCTGCAGTAAAACTTACTTTGTTTGAAGTCCTGTGGATTCCAAGGCCAAATACATTTTATAAATGATTTTAGGGTTAGAGGCCATTTTGGATTACTTAAATTACAGTTCTCTAATGTTAACTCTAGTCATTGAGCATTGATGTGTAATTTCTCTGTCTACTGTTTCTAATATGTGTTATACTGATTAGATTATAAGATACCTGAGGCCAGGGATCTTGTGTCTGCTTTGTGCCTGAATTTCAATGTATCTAATAAAGGGTCATGCACACTATAGGCACTCAATAAATCTTACTTAAATTGAATTTTTATGATTTTGCTCTGAACTCCTACTTCTAAATTGAAATATGTTGGGGATAAGTTTCCATTTTCAGGACTTTTCCACTGCTGAAAATCTTAGAAGAGCTCAGCAAAAATTGTGTTTGAAATACTTCACTGTGACTTCAGAGAACTGAAGGAAAATACTCTAACCTCAAGTAATGGCATCTCGGTCAGGTGTGGTGACTCAGCCTGTAATCCCAGCACTTTGGGAGGCCGAGGAAAGAGGATTGCCTGAGCCCGGGGTTAGAGACCAGCCCAGGCAACTTGGTGAGACATCCCCCCCCCCCCCTCTTTACAATAAATCACAAAAACTAGCTGGGCATGGTGGTGTGCATCTGTAGTTCCAGCTACTTAGAAGGCTGAGGTGGAAGGATCGCCAGCAGGTGAAGACCGCAGTGTCTGTGAGCGTGCCTCTACACTCCAACCTGGGTGACACAAGTGAGACTCGAACTCAAAAAAAAAAAAAAAAAAGGAGTGTTTGGGTAAACAGCAGGTCAGACTGGCCATCTCTTGAGTGTAGCAAAGGAAGGTAAATAAGGTTAGCATGTCCCCAGGGAAAGGATTTGCACTTCACTCTTATCCCATCAGATAATAGAGTTCCTTCATAGCTGAGGGAAGAGTGTCATTCCTGTTCCTGGAAAAGAGATTTCAGTTTCCAAACCATTGCTATTAAAGAAGTAAGTTAAATTTTATCATCTCATTGATTTTCTGGATGCCAGTAGTCTTTCTCTTTAATCAGCTATTTGACATTTATGTAACACTTTAAAGCTTATAAAGTATGCCATTTGCTTTGGTATAGCATATTTTTCTGTGAAAACGAATACTGAGAATATAAGCATACGTATAATTTGTGGAACCAGCACACGAACAGTGGACTAACATTAAGCAGAACATAAGAGAGGCACTGTGGAAGAGTGTAGCAGCTGTGTGGCCATGGGCAAGTTGCTTAGCTCCCCATCTGCAAAACAGGAATAGTACCTGTCTCAGTTTTTGTGAGAAGTAAATGAGTTAGCATGTGAATTTTATTTACTGTGGGCTTAGAACAGGGCCTAAATAACACGGAATGTTGGCCACTGTTGCCTGCAGAATTATGCTAAACAGATCCAGTGTGTGACTCAAAGTGGAGTCTGCATTAGGAAAACCTTTCCAAGGGAAGTGAGATACAAAGAGATGAAAGTAATTAGTTTCAGCTGAAATACAGTAGTGATTCAGTGAAAATGGGAGGGTTAATCTAATTAGAAAATCATTTACTGACCATTCACTGGCAGGCAGGCTATGTATGCAGGCATGTTTAAGACATCTTAGGTGGAATTATAATAGGAAATGGGAATGGTATTGTAATTTCTTTGCTTCTGGTTTGTTAGCAAATTGGTAATAAAATAAATAGATGTTGGCTTTGTTCATAGAAGAAAATCTATATTAATAAAAACATTAGCATAGTTCACTGAAGTAGTAAAATACCTTTGAAGCAGATAAGATAGCAGTAAGCAGCCCACTTGGAATTTTTGGTCAAACTAAAGTAATACAGAGTCAGTAGAAAGTCAAAGCAAAAGAAATGTCAGGAGATCCTGGTTATGGTAATTAGGCTCAGCTGTATAGAGGGAGCTTCATTCTCATTTGATGTGGGGGGACTTAAGAGCTCCTCTCTGACAATTTTGTGTGGCTATCAGTGCTCAAAATTCGGCCTTTAGAGTTGAGACTTTGGGTTCTAGAATTACCTTTTCAGAAGACTTTGAATCTGCTTTCTTTAGGAGAATTAATATATCACTATTAAAACACTTTCTTCAGTTTACAAAAATTAATTTCACTTACCTGATAAGCTTACAAAAATGGAGTAGGTAAGACCTGAGGCTATTTGGCTTCCTGGAGACCTAAGATTTTAAAACTTGATGATAGTGGCTTCTATTTGAATACTGCTTTGCATTTTCATAGTGCTTTTTTTTTGTAAACAAAAACTTTTCAAACTTCAATCATAAACCATTGAAATAGTTTGCTCTCGTGATTTATATCTAAACACTAATATAAATTGTGCACTCTAATTCCATAAATCATTGTCATGCAAAAATGTTTCCCCCATTCCAAATGTTGTAATATATCCTCTAGGAAGACTCATTATAGTTATCTTGGTTAACAGACACCCCTTATATGTGTCCTAGAGTGAAAAGCCCAGACGTATGTACTCTTATTTGACTTTGTGCACCTTAGAGAAAATACAAATTCTGACTATAGGTTACTGTTTTAAAAATGCATATAATTTAGAGGAATTGAGAGACTAACAACACAGACCAAGTAGGGAAAGTGGCAACTAAGAACATACTTAAAAAAAAAAAAACTATATAGTGGAAATATTTACTATTTCATAATTCAGTCTCAGAGTAGTACAGGGATTGATGGGAAAACTTTGGGTGCTAAATATAGAGTTTGTAGGGCCCAAGTCAGAAGCCATGCACTCAATTCAAGCAGAAGTATAGTAGTATAATAGCTATTGTTCTGGGATTCTTCTTGTTTTCAGACTTCAGACTGAGCTATGAAGTCACTTTATTATGAACGTTCTGGATTTAGGAAGGGTCGTGGTGACAAAGACGTGAAACAGGACACAGCCACTGAAATCACAGACCCAGAGACACTCTGCCCCCAGTGATGTGGCCAGACTTACCAATGTACTAGAAATCCAACTGAGAACTCTGAACTCCAAATTCAGCCTTGTTTGGGGGGCTGTGTTCACTTATTGCCTTAATATTTTCACAAGGTTGACCTTTTCCTAAGTATGTACTTTATCTACATCCTAAGTAATATCTGTCTGCAGAATTACAGGCCTCATGTCAGTTGTGGTCTTTTTCTATTTCAAGTTAAATATAAAAGTTATTTTTCTTTGTAAATTTTCCCCCCATCTCTAAAACGGGGTCTTGCTTTGTCAGTGCAGTAGTGTAATCATAACTCACTGCTGCCTTGAACTCCTGGGCTCAAGGGATCCTCCTACCTCAGTTTCCCAAGTAGCTAGGACTACAGATGCACACTTCCACGCCCAGCTAATTTTTCATTTTTTTGTAGAGATGAGGGGGTATGGTCTCACTGTGTTGTCCAGGCTGGTCTTGAACTCCTGGCTTCAAGTGATCTTCCTGCCTCTGTCTCCCAAAATGCTGGGATTGCAGGTGTGACTGTACACCTGGCCTTTAAACAATTATCTTTTTTAAAACTTACCAGCCGGGCTCGGTGGCTCAGCCTGTAATCCCGCGCCTTTGGGAGGCTGAGGTGAATGGATTGCCTGAGCCCGCGGGTTCGAGACCTGCCGGGGCAGCGAGACCTCATCTCTACAATAAATCAAAAAATCAGCTGGGCATGGTAGCGTATGCCTGTAATTCCGGCTACTTGGAAGGCTGAGGTGGAAGGATCGCCGGAGCCCAGCAGGTCGAGGCTGCGGTGGCTGGAAGCGGCCACTGCACTCCAGTCTGGGCGACCGAGTGAGACTCCAACTAAAAAAAATAAAAAAAATAAAAATAAAAAAAATTAAAAAAATAAAATTTACCAAACTAAAACCTAAAGTCATCTTGCATACCTCATCTGCACACTTTAGAAACTCTAGCCAAGCAGAAGGATTGCGATCGTTGAAAGTTAACAGATTGGAACGCAAGCACCAGACTATCCACTCTTTCTGTAGATATTTCTGGGCCTTTGAACCTCAGTTTCTTCATATGTGAAAGACTGAAAGGTTAAGCAGTCACAGTTGAGGAGGTAATAAACACCAGCTATTAAGCAATCCCATGGCTGTTCATTAAGCATCCTCGGTATAGGTAGGCAGGCAGTGCTGATTTCTCCAGGCCCCAAGACTACAGCTGTCAATCACCACAGGGGCCCACCAGTCAAAACAGGTGAGGCCTACTTTAGCCACAGTCTGAGATAACTGGGCTCAATGAGAAATGCAGCTGAAGGCAGAATTGTGAGATGATGAGCTCATATGCTATAAACAGAAATGCAAACAGCCCGTGCGAATGCACAGGGGAGATAGGAAGAACAGATTTGAACCCACATCCAAAACAGCAGCACCAGTACCAGCATCTGTACTAGCAGCAGAAGCACAGTTTGCTGTCTATCAGATGAGTCTACCTAATGAACTGGGCCTAGTTAGCCCAGCAACATCTGGTTTATTACAGAGTAAGTGTGGTACACTCAGGTATCTCAGTTTAAAATAGAAATTAGATGGTGTTCCTACCAATGAGGCAAAAGGCCAGGAAGGGAGGTGATTTGCCTAAGGTCACACAGTCACTGGGTGCCAAGAAGGAAGGAGAAGTTGCATCTGAGTTCTAAAGAACGTGGTCCAAGGGCATGGGCTACCTCCAGACTGTGAACCTCTGAAAGCTGGACTGTAATTGCAGTCCCACTTCATCCTGGGCACAGCATAGGACCCTCCTCCCCCACAGAAGTGTGGAGTCTCTTATTGAAAGTCTGTCTCTCCTAGAGGATAAGGAGTGTGCCCAGTTCACATGCTGAGTGTCTGCTATGTGCCAGATCAATGTCTATTTTGTGATCCCCAGTGCAAGTTCTGTGAAGTATAATACCATTTTGGAAGGATCCCTCAAAGGGAGCTGGCAGAGACCCAACCAAACATTCCCGTTTGACAAAGGACAGAGTATTCAGTCTTTGTAAGAAGCTGCCGTCTTCTGTCCCCTGCAGACATCCAGGCTGCAGGAATCCATGAAACACTTGGTCAAGGTCTTCCTTAATGTGAAAATGTGCTGGGTGGGTGAAATTCCAGAGGGATATGGTCACCAGCATTATTCCTCTGACAGCCAAGTATTGTAAATCCATCAGGCTCAGAAAATTCTTGAATGAATTTTCATGCAACTGACAGGAACAGTCCTCATGAGGGGCACCTTTTTAATTCCCTTCTGATCAAAATAAAATCAGGCCTGGGGAGTGGAGGAGGTTGCCAGGATCCCAATATCATGGAAAAATGTAGGGGGTGCTGAGGGTTCAAATGCCTATCCTCACTGCTGGCCTACAGGCT